GCCATAAAAAAGAAGGAATTCTCATCATTTGTAGCAACCTGGATGGAATTGGAGAACATCATGCTGAGTGAAATAAGCCAATCAATGAAAGAGAAATACCACATGACCTCACTCATTTGTGGAAGATAAAGAACATTATAAACTGATGAACCAAGAGACAGATATAGAGACAGTAAAGCAACAGGCAGACTGTCAAATTACAGTGGGGAGGGGAGGAAGATCTGGGGGAGATAGTAGATCAACCGAAGGACTTGTGTACATGCATATAAGTACAACCAATGGACATAAAACTCTGGGGAGGGAGGGTATGTATGGGAGGGAAGGAGGGGGGCAAAAAAAATCAATAAAATATATTTAAAAAGTAATAATAATGAGGAGCCAGAACCGGTGTGGCTCAGTGGATAGAGTGTTGGCCTGCGGACTGAGGGATCAAAGGTTCGATTCAGGTCAAAGCATGTACTTTGGTTTCGGGCACATCCCCAATGGGGGGTGTGCAGGAGGCAACTGCTTAATGTTTCTCTCTCATTGATGTTTCTAACTCTCTATCCCTCTCCCTTCCTCTCTGTAAAAAAATCAATAAAATATATATTTTTAAAAATAATAATGAGGAAAGGAGGAGCTGGTCATTGCAGAGGAAAAGGGAAACACACTGGTGGCTCCAGATGACTGGTGGAGGAATAATGTGTTCCAGCTTCAGGCAAAACTGATATGGACAGAAACAGAATGTTGGGGAACCAGCTAGAACTGTGAGAAATAGTAATCATGCTCTGTTAACTGTGATTGTTTTATTCTGATTAAAGAAGGCACATTCCAACCTGGCAGGCAGAGGCACTCTGGACCTGGGAACTCACCTGCAAATGTAGCCCATCCTCCCCATTTGGAGCTGCCTATTATCATGCAAACATTAACAACTTTCTGGTAGGAACCAGAATAACCAGTTCTTTGAAGACCCTCCACCCTTGCATGTCACTAAGCACTTTGAAGATCTCCAGCCTTTTGCATACCTGTGGGCTTTTGCAAATCTCCAGCCTGCTAATACCTGTTAACTGCCCATTTGGCAAACCCCATGTGATAGTTATCCTTCTACCCAATATAAGCAGCTGGCTTATAGTGGGGTGCAGAGCAGAGTTTTATGGATGAGTTGCTGATCTCACATCCTGCCAGCAGTATTGAATAAACGCTCTGCTGAATTGGCTCAGGTAGTGACCAGCAGCACAGGCCCATTGATTGTCTGGTTACAGAACTCCTGCCACTTTAAGGCCCGAGGTGGCTGAGCTCTGGGGTTGGTTGGGTGAGCAAGTGGTGGTGTGGTCTGAGTATGCTATCAAAGGATGACAGTGATTGCCCAGGTACATAGGCATCCTCTTGGTGATGCTACACTGAGCATATTTGCAAGTCAATGTCCACCCCAGTGGAATGTGCTCAAAGCCAGGGCTTCCAAGAATGACAATCTTCTTATCTGTTTCATTACTCTCTTACAGGGTATCACTCTGCCCTCTCTCCCTGTCTGCCTGTCCTCTGTTCTCTTTTGCCAACATTCGTTAATTCATTTATTCACCCATTTAATTTCTTTGTGCCAGACACAAGGGATTAAGTGGTAAGATACTCTATGCGACATCCCTGAAACCAGCGCCTATGAAACATGCCTTCCAGAAAATTATACCACAATAAAATATGAAGAGTCTTATCAGGGAAGATGTAGAAGGTGCTATGGTGCTTAATGATTCTTTTTTTTTCTATGCCCATCCACATCATTTTCTTCTTTACTGTCTTGTCTCCGCATACCAGACAGTCCTCAGGTTACATCAGACTCGTTGTTTCGTGGTTACATCACCATTTACCATTTATTTATATTTTTAAAAGTTCTGTCATTTCAACGTATGTACATAGGTGCTTTATGTTTTTATTATTTATTTACCACAAGTAAAGGTCAGGAATTGTTATCTTTCTTTTAAATCTTTTTTACTATTACACTTCATTGCTGCTGTGCATGTGTTCCAAGTGAGTGGCGCAGGTGCTTATGTAGTGGGTTCCGACTTATGGCGAAAACAAATTATGTTGCGTTGTAGGAACGATCTCTGGCATAACCCAAGGACCTACTGTACATTCTTTTATTCCCTTGCTCTAGGCCAGTGGTTCTCAACCATCTAATGCCGAGACCCTTTAATACAGTTCCTCATTGTTGGGATGACCCCCAACCATAAAATTATTTTTGGTGCTACTTCATAATTGTAATTTTGCTACTATTATGAATATATCATAATGTAAATATCTGTCATGACCCACAGGTTGAGAACTGCTAGCAGGATCGCCTAAGACCATCAGAAAACACAGATATTTACATTATGATTCATAACAGTAGCAAAATTACAGTTATGAAGTAGCAACAAAAATAATTTTATGGTTGGGGTCACCCCAACATGAGGAACTGTATTAAAAAGGGTTGCAGCATTAGGAAAGTTGAGAACCACTGCCATAGACTTTTGCTCTTTGCTCCTTTTTTATCCTCATCTCTTTAATCCTCTATTGTCCTTTTTTTCTCTCTCTCTTTTCCTGATTCAGTCCTTTACTTTTTATCCTCCCTCTGTCCTTCCATCTATCCCTCTGCCTCGCCCTGAACCTGGGCAATGTTCAATTTTTATATTAAAAAACACTTTCTCCACCACCAGCCCCCACATGCACACAACCACACATCTCTGCAGCCATTTCCCTGCTCATATATTCAACCTCCCTTCGGGGGCGCAGGCGTTTGACCTCTGCAATGACAGGGATCGGGGTAAACATGCCTGCCTCTCTCACTGGAGTCAGATGCTGAAATACATAAAATTCATAGGGATTAGAGTGAGAATCAAAAGCAAGCCCCAGAATTCATGTGAAGAGGTTAAAATGTGGTAGACCTTACGGGCATTAGGTTAAGTGAAATAAGTAAGAAAGAGAAAGACCAATACCATTTAATTTCACATATATGTCAATCTAAAAGTGGAGGAAATAAGCTCATAGTTACAGAGAACAGGTGGATGGTAGCTAGAGGTTGTGGGGAGAAGGGAGGCTGTATGTTGTGAAAGGGGTGAAAAGGTACAAACATCCATTTATAAAATAAGTAAGACCTGAGATGTCTTGTAACATACAGCATGGTGACTACAGTCAATAGCACTCCACTGTGTACTTGAAGTTGCTAAATGAATAGACCTTAGAGGATCTCTCATCACAGAAAAAAAAAAATGCCATTATGGGTGGTGGCAGGTGTGATCAGTCACAGTTAGTACAATAATTGAATCATTACACTGTACACCTAAAACTAACATAATGCTAAAGAACAATTATACCTCAATAAAAGAAAGAGGTTAGTATGTGACACTGCATGGATTTCACAACCATGGGACGCTGGCAGGTACGATCTCATCATCTCTCTTCATAGGCCAGGAGCCTCACTGGGAGAGAAATGCTGGCTTCAGGCCACTCAATCAGCATGTCACATCAGGTTCCACCTCAGGTCCTCCAGCAAGCCCCCGTGAGTCCCTGACAGCAGCTGACGGCAAAATGGAAATGCGGCCTTAGCCCCAGAGATTGTTACCTCCATTTGTCAGCCCTGCCACTCAAAGTCCTAAGGGCAGGGCTGTGCGGAAGAGTCCTGGGCCTCTCTGGGAGTATTTGTCTGAGCCTTTTCCTGCCTGCATGTATGCGCTTGTGATCATGAGTGTGTGCCAGCAAACACACACACCACTCACATCATGTGACTAGCTCAGGGAAGGCCTGCATGGAGGCCTTGCAAACTAAGACACCTAAAGTAACCACAAAGCATGGTCTGAAATTAAAACCTTTAATTAAAAAGCAGTTTATAGTGGCTATTCCTGTCCTAGACCAGTATCTTCCCCTACAAAGATCAACTTCAATCTTTCTGAGTCTATTGTCTTTTACATCCAAGATACCACACCTGTGGAATGTCCTGGTAACTTGTAACTTCCCTTTTTTTGAACCCTTCAGGGCACAACTAACAGGGCAGAAACCACAAATTGTTATTGTTATCATGTTGTCGACTGTTAACTGTACGGTACCAACCCACCTATGTAAAAGAAGCATATGTCTATTGTTTCCCTTTGTACCCAGTCCAGAGGTTTCTCTGCTTTGCTTTCTCCCACTTCCCTAATCTATTACCAATGGATTTCATGTAACCCACCTACCAACAGGATTAGATTCATCATCTCTGGTTCTCTCTTTCCTCTAAAAATCAATTGCTTTGACTATGGTTACCCACTTCCTCCCTCTAAAAGAGCTCCTAAGAGAGGCGAAAATATAACCAAAGGAAAAGAAAGAGCTAAAGTCTAATAACAGAGAAGACATGGAAAATAGAAGACAGGGGAGATCCACCAAAAGGGAAAGTGGTTGGAAGAAGTTTAAGTTGGTAGAGAGTATTTAAAATTAAAAATAAACAAATAACCCTGGCCAGTTTGGCTCAGTGGATGGAGCATCGACCTGCAGTCTGAAGGGTCCCAGGTTTGATTCCGGTCAGGGGCACATGCCCGTGTTGCAGGCTCAATCCTCAGTGGGGGTGTGCAGGAGGCAGCCAATCGATAGTTCTCTCTCATCATTGATGTTTCTATCTCAAATCTCTTCCTTTGATGAAATTTATAAAAGTGAAAAGCCACCGTTTTTCAGAGCATTATCTCAATACTGCTGAGATTCTTTTTCCTGGCAATTGTTGACAGTTTAGCTCAAATAAACTCACAAAAATCCTTTAAAGGTTTTAATGTTTTCTTATACTGACAGCTCAGATTCCCTCTAATTCTCAACATTTAATGCCCATTTGGAAGCATAGAATTCAATTTCAGATGCTAAATTGAGCAACTGAGAGATAAAAACGTGAACTCTTACGCATTTTATTCTCCACACCCCTTTCGCCTAAGAGTTTTTAAGTGTGCATAAGCATGTGCACACACACACACACACACACACACACACACACACACACACCATCCCCTCCAAGTGACTTAGAAACTTACTCAGATGCTGCAACTCCAACTCCAGCTGAGAGAGTCTCTTTATCATTATCTCGTTCCTTTCAGACAGAGGCAAGTGAGGCTCCTTTTGGACACCACCCAGAATCAACTTTTGTAAACTCAACTTGGTATAAAATACCAGGACGAGATTGTAGACAATAATGAGAGTCAGTCCAATGCAGAGAATTTTGCAGAGATGTCTCCTGAGCATCATACTTCGACTGGTTCTGCCACTCCCTGCAGGGCTGAGTGTCACTGCTCTGGCAAGCTAAGGATCAGAATCAGCTGAGCCTTGTCTCCTGGGTGCAGAGATGACACCCTGCCTGCTGAACCAGATGTTCTCCGACTGGAAAAGCTGGGACAGGTTGCCTGGCTTCTCCCTGCACAGTGTCAGGTGTGGAGTATGTCATGGCAGCCACCCAATGACTGGCAGGCTCCCTGGGTACACTTGGCACTATCTCAAATGTTACAGCCAACAAACTTGAAGAAAGCTTTTTGAGGTGGAGGTGAGCCCCAGGCAATGGCCCTGCTTCACTGATCTGTGCCCTCTGCTAGCTATCAGCACACAGCTCTGTACACTGAAGTTCTGACAGTGGGGAATGTCATGTAATAAGAATAGAGCCATGATTGTTTAATGAGTATTCATTTTCCTAACTATAGGTAAGAAGTTTTCTTACAGACCCTGGAAAACTGGAGGATTTGCTACAAGGAGAAAACTAGAGCTGTAAAGAGACAAGAAACACCTTGGCACCCCAATGGGTCCATTGCTCAGAAAAGAAAATGCACTTTGAGAACAGATAAAGGATGGGACAGTTTTGATTTGATTGCTGGGCCTGGACCTTGTTGTCCTTTTGGAGTTTGCCTCAGGAATGCTGACCATTTCCTTAAATATCCTGGAAGGAGACACAGGAACCACGGACCCTGCAGCCACCCCCTCCTTTTCCCTTTGCATGCAGCCTTTATTCCTTATTCCTATGTAATCAGCCAGCTAGTAGGGGATGAGAGAACAGATTTTTGTGAATGACCTGCTGCTCTATCATACTGCCAGCATTCTTGGAATAAACGCTCATATATGGTTCAACCCTGACTCTGCTTAATGCGTTCAAGTAGTGACAGGCAGCTGGGAGCCATTGATTGTCTGGTTTCAGTTCCACCCTGCTCCAGCTTCCACTAACTCTTCGGCTCCCACACCTCACACTCACTATATGTTTTGAACAAATCATTTAATTACCATCATTATAGATTAAACACTTGAAATTGTTCCCCAGAGCCAAAAGTTTTAAGACAAGTGTTGGATCCCTTCATAATCATATCTCTCACTGTGTCCCAGCTTCTAGGTCTCCAATAAGAACTGGGGAAGAAATTTAGATTAAAGTACAGAGATGTGGCTTTAGAAAAAGCAGGTAGAATAAAACATAATAATAAAATGTAAGAGTTCTTTATATCTGTTGTTTCCATACCCTCATCTACAAATCAGAGTCAAAATAAATTTAAAATGCATGATTTATGTCTTGTAATGGAGTAGATCATTTATCTCTATTTCTCCCCCACTGAAAGCAACTAAAAACTCTGCGTGCTAGAAATAAAACAAACATGAAAGGTGGAGAAAGGGGCTATGGGAACAACATAGTGGTGAGTTCCCTGGGTTTTCTTTTTGCCTAATATATCCTAGACTGAATGCTGAGTAAGTTACCACACTATAAATGCCAACAGGAAAAGACAATAAATGTCCCAAAGAAAATCCTGTTCTCTCTAGACAAAGAAACAGGGCAGGAGGAGCCTAGCAAGATGAGTATTTCAGACAATAACTGCTCTACTCCAGCCAAACACCACCTGAAAACCTGTTATACCGGACCCATCCCAAACCATGTGGAAAGCCTCGACTGCCACCCTCTCCCCCAGCTATGACAAGGTGCCTCTTCCTTTATCCCCTCTAGGATGGTGGCCTTAAAAGGAACCATAATTTTTATCCTTGCCCCCCAGGATGTCAGTAAAGAAACAGTAATGAAGTGGCCCTTCCTCTCTTAGCCAAGTTGGTGTCAGCAGAGGCCTAGTGGGGAACCTGAACTTCTCCACAAACAGAAATTGAATTGTACTCCCTCCTACCCTCAGGTGTCAACAGAGGCAAAGTGGGAAACCTTGACTTCCACTCCCACCTGACAGCAAAAGGGGCATCTCGATTTTCCCACCAAACAGTGTCAGGGAATCCTGCTAAAACAGAAGATTTAATTATGATACAGAGTCTCACAACATCATGCTCAGAAGGTCAAGGATGCAATAATAAATAATCTGATATACCTAGAATCAGGAAAATCTCAACTTGAATGATACCAATACCAATATGACAAAGATGCTGGAATTATCTAATGAGGATTGCAAAGAAGCCATCATTAAAAACAAAACAAAACAAAAACCCCACACACGTCAATAAGCAGTTATCATAAAACAGAACCAAATGAACATTTTATAACTAAAAATACAATAAATAAAATTTTTAAATCGCTGAAGAAGCTTCAAAGACAAAATAAAAGAGATAGAGAAAAGAATCGAGGAAGTTGATTAGAAAACAGAAAGGACAGTAGAAATTATCAATCTGAACAACAAAGCAAGAATAGACTAAACCTCAACAACTTGAGAATATAGTAAAAGGTTTAGTGTTTCATCAGAATCTTAAGGGAAAGGAGAGATTAAATAAGAAATTGAAAAATAAGTTGGCAAAAGACATAAATCTACAGACTCAAAAAGCAAGTGACCAGCTGGTAGCTATGATGTTCACTGACCACCAGGGACAGAGCCAGGAGCAGAAACCACAGACATGGAAGCATGAAACAGACTGATGAATTTCAGAGAGAAGCGGGGAGGCAGACAGGGGAAAGAGATTAATCAAAGATCTTATATGCATACTACAGGCTGGGTGCATAGATTCATTCACCAGTGGGGTCACTCGGCCTAGCCTGTGGGGATAAGGCTGAAAACAACTTTTGGCCTGGCCTGTGGGAATGAGGCTGAGACCAGCTCTCTGACATCCCATGAGGGGACCCAGATTGCAAGAGGGTACAGGCCAGGCCTAGGGACCCCACTGGTGAATGAACCCGTGCACTGGGCCTCTACTAGAAAAAAATAACAGACAGCAAGAGCATAAAAATAATCCAAGCAAGCAAACAAACAAAAATTAATTCTAATTTATTCGTCTCTGTCCTCTGCTTTCTCTTCAGATTTCTGACTAAAATCACAGAGACCAGAAGGAAGTATTACAACATTTCCAAGTGCTGAAAGAAAGGTCAACCCAAAGTCCTCTATCCAACAAAAATATCCCTCACTAATAAAGGAAATCAAGCCATTCTCAGACAAAAGAAAATTAAGAGAGTTTGTTAGAACAGACTGATGAATCTCAGATCTTATATGCATACTACAGGTTAGGTGCCCAGATTCATGCACCAGTCGGGTCCCTTGGCCTAGCCTGCAGAAATTTTTGTAGACCTACTCTAAAAGAAAGCCTACAGAAATTTTTCAAAATGAACAAATGACAAAAGAAGGAATCTTGGAACATGCAGAAATAAAAAACAATAGAAAAGGTAAAGCTCTGACTAAATAAGAAGACTTTCCTTTTCCTTTTGAGTTTTCTAAATTATGTTTGACAGTTGACACAAAAATCACATTGTCTGATATGGTTCTCAAAGTATGTATGAGATATTTAATACAGTTGCATTATAACTGGGAGAGGGTAAAGGGGCTTAAAGGCAAATACAGTTTCTACATTTTATCTAAACTAGTAAAATGATGATGTTAGTAGACTATGCTAAGTTATATATGCACTTGAGGCCCAGCCAATTGGGGCCATCTCACCCAGTCCTGATCTCAGCTGGCTGGCCAGAGGGTGGGACTATGGGAGGTTGACCAACTATGGGAGTTTAGCTGTGGGAGTGCACTGACTACCAGGGGAAAGCTCCTGCATCTGCCCCCTGGCGGTCAGTGAGCATTATAGCTACTGTCCGATTGTCCAGTCATTCAATCATAATGGTCACTTAGGCTCTTATATCTAGAGATACTAGTGATGGAATAGTGCTGAAGTATTTGGATTATAGCAGTGGTTGCATAAATCTACCTGTGTAGTAAAATAGCAGAAAACTATACACAGAATCAACATAAAATTTCTGGCTTTACTATCAAACTATCTATATATATAAAAGCCAAGTGACCAGAACGACCAGTCACTATACCCCCCGCATACTGTGGGGGCTAACTGGCCCAATCAGCCCCCGTTGAGGTGGACCAGCCAGACCCCACCCCTGCACAAATTCATGCTCCAGGCCTCTAATAGTTAAATAAAATATATCCATTGGAGGAAACTGGATGAAGGGTACACAGCAGTTCTCTGTACTATTTTTGCAAAATTTTGTAAATCTATAATTATTTCAAAATTAAAAGATTTTTTAAAAAAGAAAGTATTATCCTTACCCTAAACAAACCTATGGTTAAAGTAGATTACTTTATTACAAATACACAAAAGAATAGTGTGGGTGACAAGAGTTGATAAACTGAGAGATAGAGGTGGGAAGTAGACTAGCTTTTCATTGCACAATTTCTTATATATTTTAAATGTGTATCATTTTAGAAGAATTATCTATTTAAAATAAATAGAATACTTTATAAAATGTGCATTATAATCTCAGCTAGAGATACTAACAAATGTTTCTTTCCCTGTATCTTTACTTGCTCTAAAGGAGCCATGTAATTGTTTGTGGGCTTACTAAGCCTTTATTTTCTCCCTAGTATACAAATTCAATGTGCAATGGGAGGAATGTTGAGTCAGAGATAATCCAAACATCACTACCACACCTAGACAGAATCACTTCTCCCTCAGATGAGAACTGTGCAATTTTCCACATTTGTCTGCCTGACACCTTTCCATAGCATGAGTTCTTTCTCAGGAGGCACCTCGTCTTTAGCAAACTCCTGATTGCCTACTCTACCTCTTTGCCAGATGGGTCCAGAAATGGCTAAAACTAACAATGAGCATAGCTTAGAATCCAGGTGGGATCTGCCCATTATCCCAATACATGATGGTGACTACAGCAATGTGTGAAAGAAAGCCACTACCCAATGCCCACATTCTCCAATGTAATGGACCAATGTATCTTAGAGAAATGATTGATTCTGGAGCAGAAAAAATACAAGATGAACCTGAAGGATCTTGTAATAGCAGAAAGTAAG